AGGATATTAAACATATAATATTGCTTTTGTTTTAATGACAAATATTTTTAACACCCAAATCCATTAATAACAGGAAAGCACACAAGAGGGAAATATTGTGGCTTAAACTCCACCTTTATTATTTCGGTCCTTTTTACACTGGATGTAATAACTAACCCCTCAAAAAATAACATTCTGCGGATAATTGGGTGACTACAATCTGTTTATACTCTCAAATATTACTTGCAAATAAAAAAAATTGTATATGTACATAAATTTTACATTAAACTCCCCATCCAGTCCCTTCCAAAAAAAAAAAAAATAAAATAGATAATTAAATAAAACCAGTCACTTATAAGCTATATCTGCTAACGATAATACTTTTCCTTCTTTCAGAAATCAATAAGCTTAAGGCCAGACAGCCATAGCTTTAATAAAGTTCAGTTAGATTAAATTGAGTTAAATTGATATCAATATAGTACTTGAAATAGTTAACGATTGAAAATTTTGATAAAAAAAACTAATTTGTACTACAAACTCATAGAAAGTACTGAATTATAACCAAGTCGATATATTAAACTAAAACCAAAAACGTTCCGGTTCGAAGATTCGGCTTTGATGGTATTAGGAAACTTATTGATATTTCAATCACTAATACGATAATTAAATTGAAGACTTTGTAAACTAGTAACTCAATCAAATTACAAAATGCTATAATATCAATTTGCACTTACTGAATTAAATAAAATATTATATTAAACTTATAGAATCATAATATAAGAAGCAAGCTACAAGTTATTTGTACAAATTTTTGTCAAATATAATGAGAATTATAATTGAGTGAATATATTTACCAGTAAATTTTTTGAATAAACTAAATGAGAATTGTAAATTAATTCTAAATGTACCATAATATTTTGACTGCGTTGAAACTTTTTAAACATTTTTATAAAACAAATTTATTTGGTTATTTATAAAATGAAAACTGAACAAAAAAAATATATAAAAATTTTAAAATAATTAAAATTTTACATAAAATTTTACATGGTCAAACATTTTTAAAAAATATTATGATTTTGAGCTCTTATAATATTTGAACCCCTTGAGGTACAAAGAAATATAAATAATAAAATTAAAGAGTATATAATGTACCTAAAGCAGTTATTTGGCTTGAGCTATTCAGATTGACTTTTTGTAAATTACAATATAAACAGTTCAAAAATCCACTATATGTACTATTCCACTACTGACCATAGGCTGATGTGTCGTCTTATGGGGTTTCTGAAGGATGCAGTTGAAATCGCTTGACGTGAAAAAGGAATTTTTGTGTGTTTCGTCTTGCTAATAGGTTCATACTTCACTGACTAACTTTTTGACTTTTTGACTGACTAACTCCGGTATCAATAGACGAACATCCTTTTGCTGAGCCCTGCATATGGGAAAGATCACGTAGCACAATTTCGTTCTGTGATGGGGAAATAAGTGTAAAGAAAAACAGCGACAAATATATTGTTTAAGTGTATGTAATATTTAAATACAATTAGTGATCGTACTTGTTAATAAAAGTGATTAGTTATTTGTAGATTGTCGAAAATGCTATGTAGACCAGTTCATTAAAGTATTCTGTGTTTTAGCGAACAATTTGTCTAAATTGATATATTTTTTCCGTTTCAACAGAGAATGTTACAGGTTCTGAAACTATAGGCCAGAATACGCTATTACAATAGGGATATTCCAATGTGGTCGGTAACTCAGTAAAGTCATGATGACTTATGTATATTAGGTATTAAGCAATTACTACGCAACGGAGCTAATGGATTCCCAAGGCATCAGAAACAATATTTTGTTTGCTGTATGGTAAACCATGAGCTGATTGTGAAGTGTTACACAAAAAATAAATAAATATTGATAAAATTTAGAAATTAAATAAAAGATATAATTTTACTTCAATTTAAAATTTAAATTTTTTAACTATTAACTATTTCTTGCCATTTTCTTGCTTTTATGTGATGCAAAACAGGCAAACACAAAATCAGGTACTTTGGTAGCTCAATATGTAAACTCTACTGAGAAGAGATTTAAAAGACTATCTTTTTATCACTTTATCAATTTATAGAGTTATATAAATATATCAATACCCTTAATATGTTGCATACGCTGTAGAAAGCTATTACATACTGAGATAACCGAAGATTTGAGTTGATTAAATTTTAAAAATTTTGTGAGTACCATTATTATTTCTGACAGTGCAATTCTGACGAAGATCTCTCATCTCACCACACTCAAAAATCTTACGAATGAACGTTTGAAAGATTTTTCGTATTATGGCTCTTTTAGCTCTTTGTAAAAACTAAATGATAGATTTGCTATTGATCAGGTCTTTCGATTGTCAGTTAAGATCTTATTTGTGTTTTTGTGCATAAACTTTTCATTATATAAAATAAAATACATAAAAACTAAAATTAATAATTAATTAATTAAAATAGAGCAATTATTTCTAACTTCATTTTGAATACAACACAAACGTAAACTATAAACTATTGATTAACTATACTGTCTTTATAAATATTTTAAAATATATATTTTATATATTTATATATAACATAGATATATATTTTTTAAATATTTACTTTCTAATATTTATTAATATTTATTTTACATTGATTTATTCAACTATTTCTTTCTTTTTTATTTAAGATATAAATAATTTAAAAATAATATAATTGTAATCACAATATATTTATATAATACATATATTATATTTATAATATATTATAATTATAATATTATTATAATTATAAATCAATAAATAACTAATTAATTTTTTTGCAACTGCTTTATTTATGCAGCAATAGGTGCTACGATTTCTTTTATGACATGATTTAAATTCAGTAAATAATTATTAATGTATAAATTATAATAATAATGGAACATAGATCTTGGGGCTTTCCATCACATTTGTATTAAAATTCAGTTACATATTTACTTGCAGGCGGTAGCGATTAGCAGCTGCTTTTGATTTCCCCACGAAAGAAATAGAACAAAACAGCTTTTTATCACAATTTACAACTGATTACACCTTTTTTGGAAGAAAATAGCTAAAATCTTACAAACAATCTTCGGGTAGGTCTTACAAAGATCTTAAGAAAGGCTTTCAACGATACTTGCCAGAATTGCTCTGAAAATTACCGTCGAACGCATTATGCTAACAGTAGTTAGCTATATTGTTCAGAATTGTTAAATGTGAAGTTAGCTCAATGGAATATAACAATATTCCGTATAAAATCAGTCAGTCATTTTAGTCAGCGACTACAGTTTAACCATGGATTAGACATGAAAAAATCAGTACACCAGCCGTTGGGCACGACAGACAATATTTGTAAGTGATATGTTTTTGTAATATAATAAGGCATTTTGGTGGCTCGCAAGTATGGCAATAAACAGCAAGTTGCTGGCCTATACTGGTTGAAATGTACGCAAAACAACAACACTATTTTCTCTACCTCGGCCAGTATAGCTATACTGGGCAAACACATATACTGGGCAAAAAAAATGTTACCAACGCTATCAGCAAACTATTGTGAATCTTCATTCACAACAAATCACAAAATTCAAAAATTTGAAAATTGGGAAAAAAGAAAAATTTAGTGTTTTATTTTGAAATTTTCAATATTTTTACCATTTCTTTCAATTCTGTATTCATTTTACTCGTCAATTTATATGAATTATTTATTTTCATACAAAATGTAACTTGCTTGCATTATATCCACATATGTAAGATTTTTTATTTGCCAAAACATAACATATGACAGATTGCAACAGTGATGCCAATATCTTGCGTAGCCAATATAGGTCAGCATGCATTTTTTGCCATACTCGCGAGCCATCGAAAAGGACTATTATTATATTATTCTTTCTCCCATTAGTTTTTAGTTTTCAACTAATTTTGGTGCTTAAGAATAACTTGGCATCACTGCCTAAATCAGTAAAAATATGACAACTAAGAAAATTTTAAACAAATATGCGGTTAAATTTTCTAAAAAATTATTGGTGAGCAATTATTGGTGGTAATATAAAAAATTATATGTACTTAAATTTATATATTTATCTACGTTGACTATCAACCGTATATTTTTCATTTTATCTTAATATATGATAATATATGATATATATAATACAGTAACTTAATGAATAGAAAATCATTATCTTCAAATAATTTATATAATTTTGTTGCGGGACTGCTAAGTTCACAGAACAGGAAAGTTTTAACCAAAATGAGAAAATATCAAACACCTCCATCATCAAGTAACGTTATGATATACAAAAATAGTTTAAATTTAGTGAGGGATTTAGGCAATACGAGATTGTAATAAATTCGTTTATATAATTCTCAAACTTGTAACATCACTAGTTAATGCTAAATAAGCAGTATTTAACATTGCTTTAGTTTTCTTGGAATTGTCTTATAACTTTTTGCTTTTTTTTAATGAATGTGAATTTATGTATTGCATTTTTAATAAACATAATACAGATTTTAAAAATTTCCTAACAAAAAATTAATTTCTTTACAATTACTAACCTGTCTATTATTTTCATAAATTTTGCTAAATAATTACTTACTAAAAATATTTAAATTCATATATAAATTCACTCAGTTGACTGTTATTTTCATTTTCATCCAAAAATCATTCACAATAGATCAGTTTTAGTGCGAGCATCATTGTAGTGCGAGCGGCTTATTCGATAAAATTTTATTTATGTTTTTCGTGCACAAACTTTCCTTTATATAAAATAAAATAAACAAAAACTAAAATTAATAATAAAGCAATTATTATAACAGAGCAATTATTTCTAACTTCATTTTTAATAAGACACAAAAGTAAATGTATTGATAAACTATACTGTATGTATAAAAATTTTAATATATGTGTTTTATATATTTGTATATAATAAATATAATTTTCATATATTTGAACTCAAATATTTATTAATATTTAGTTTAAGCAGTTTCAGGAAAGTGGACTTATTTGTACGAATTTTATTTTGCTTTGTATGTTAATTTTCAAGCACCACGTTTTTTATTGGAGCATTCATGTCAAAGGAATACACCTAATATAACTAAGCGAGTGTCTAAATGAAACAGTGTCCTAGATATATAAATATTTCAAAATTATGTGTTATTTGTATATCAACTTAATACGAAATTTAACGATTATTGCAGTATTTAAACAAAATCAAGGAAAGATTTGAACAGCAATTCCTAAAATAAATGACATTTGTATGAATTCTGACATTTGTACCATAACAAAATAATAATAATGTGTGTAGTACAAAATTTCAAGTTGCAACCCTGCATAGCTGGTGCGTACAAATGCAACCATGTATGATACGAAGACAAAAAATAATAGAAAACAGATGACAGCATAAATACAACAAGAAAAGTATTTTCAATTTCAGTTCTGGGCAGTGGTAAAAAAGTATTAAGTTTTTTTTTAGAAATACAAGTTATTATGTTTAAAAAGATTTTGTGGACAAATAAATTTGAATAAATTAAAATGCGGAAAGAAACAAATGATACGGTAGACAGTCTGAACAATTCAACGCCGCGAAAAACTGAAAATGAAATAATCGATCAGCCAGAGGAGTTGTGTTTTGCCCAGAGTATGTGAATTTATTGAAAATATAAATATCATTACGGTCATTTATGTTATATTATTTCGAATTTCAGAACCCGAAAGTGATGGTGAACGACGTAAAAGAATTCATATTAATGAATTAATTAACAACAATGAAATAAACTACGAGGTTTTGCTGGAATTGGCTCGGTCTGAATATGGACTCGTTAATGATAAAATACGTGCCATTTTGTGGCCACGGTTGGCGAAAGTGAACGAAGAAGATGTTAAAAAGGCACCTAATATTAGCGAACTGCAATCACATCCTGAATATCAGCAAGTCGTTTTAGATGTCAATCGATCTTTGAAAAGGTTTCCACCAGGTATTCCCTACCAACAGCGTATTGCATTGCAGGATCAATTAACAGTGCTGATATTACGAGTCATTAACAAGTATCCAAATTTAAGATATTATCAGGGTTATCACGACGTTGCCGTTACATTTTTGTTGGTTGTAGGAGAAGATTTAGCTTTTGCTGTTATGGAAAAACTTTCAACATATCACTTTGAAGAGTGTATGCAGGAAACAATGGATGCAACACAAAAAAGATTGATGTTTATTTGGCCACTTCTTAAAATGGAACATCCGACGCTATATAAATTTATGGTTGAGTCAAGTGTTGGTACTCTGTTCGCTCTCCCATGGTATCTTACATGGTTTGGACATAGTTTAAATTCATATTTAGATGTGGTACGATTATATGACTACTTTCTTGCATCGCCAATTTATACGCCAATCTATGTAACTGTAGCCATTGTACTATATCGAGCCGATGAAATATTGGCCGAACAGTGTGATATGCCTTCCATACATTGTTTGCTATCAAAGGTGAGTATTTATTAAATTATTATAAAATCATTATAAAATGTCTTGTGCTTGTCTTTATGCTTGATTATAATTTTTACTTAGTGAAAGGTTAAACAATGTCGGATGTCTTATTTATGTATTTTGGTTATGTAGATATACAATATATTTTAATTTGATGTAGAATCGTATGATGTTTATATATTCAGGATCAGTATATATGTTAATATATAAAAAATTAATGTAGACCTTGCTGCCTACATGCTATAAGTCTATAGTTATTGCTATGCAGGCATTTTCTGCAGTTCTGCACAGTTTTTTTTATGTATAGCTTCTCTTATTTCAACGCGTCACATGAATTTGATTTGCTTTGGCACCTTGCTTTACTTTTTCTCATGCTCATATTTCAGTACTATTGTATCCGCCAATAGTTCTTTAAAATATACAATCCATTTGTTGATGATAAACCATTTTTCTGTCATGACGTCATCCTCTTTAACTCCTCAGTTTTTGTATAGAAATGTATAGAAATTTATAGAATCTCTGGGAATATTGGTAAAATACACTGCACATATGAGATCGATTGTAGTAAAGTATAAATATTACTACATTTTCCTAGAAAAATTTTAATGACTTATTAACAGATCTAAGCCGAAGAGTGTTAAAATATAAATTTAAAAATGAAATAATAAGTTTTTTTTATAATTTTCATATAAATGTTATATTTTTTTTTTGTTAAATGAATAATAGATTTAATGATTCACCTAATATATTAATAAGATTTAGTATTTAGAGATTTAGAGATTTAGTATATTAGTTTCATATATAATTTTTTATAGCATAAATATATAACTTTTGGTTGTGAAGTCAAACTACATAAGTATTAAAATTATTTTGCTTTGATTTATGATTAAAAACACAAGAATTTTTAATTTTTTTAAAAAGGATTTATTTAATCTTTAAAAATATTCTACTTTTAATATTATGTACTTATACCACAAATATCAGAAACATTGTAAATAGGTCTTTTTAGTCATGGTCATGAGCTTGGTCAATTATTTTACATATAAATTATTGAAAAACGTAAGACCGCTGATGAAGGTCAGCCAAATTTCAATTAATTACCTAAAATTTTGTTCTTATCTTTCCTTAGCTATACGAATCCGTCTAACTTTTAAATAGTTCCTTTTCGTCATAAACACGCGTTTCTCTCGGCAAGAAAAAATTAACATTAAACAACGTTTTCCTTTGTATTTGTCTTTTTGAATATCAGGCCCACTCTTTGCGTTTTATCTCAAGAACGATCTTGAGATCTTGGTCCCAAATCAAATAGGTAAAATTAAGCCCACTACAATTATAAGATTTATAAATAGTCTAAAAAATTGTCCTAGTTGGGCCTATAGACGCACAATAAATCTTTTAGGTCGGGGTGCACAAATAGCCTATTTAAATAAAATAAAAAAATAAAATAAAATCTCAAGAACTGCTAGTTGTATAAAAAATTAGCTAAGATATAACCTGTAGATTTGTTTGCTCTGTTATAACTTTTAAACGCAATTGGCGAAATATTTATAAAAAAAATAATTTTTATGACCTTTCCCCTCGAATATATTGTCCGTCTATTCGATATTCTTTGCAACTGTCTGGGCAACTTGTGTCCAAATAAAGATTTATAGATTGTTTATAGCTTGTTGCCTTTCTTTACAGACAAATATGTCTTTGACCTGTTTCTTTGATCTGTTCCTGTAAAATAAAATTAGCCGCTTGAACGCTTTTAGTTTGAATATTTTAGGGATACAAGAGTGTATGAAGTGTTAGGTTCAATTATTCAAATTCAAGTATACTCGGGCTACATAGACGTCAAAATACTCATACGATTTTAGGCAGCGGTGAACACGTAGTGGTTTAATTGGCTTAATCCGTTATTTAATCGTTTCAAAAACCCATAACAAGTAACAATGACTCGTACAGCGATGGAACATATATTTGTGGTATGCAAACAAAGAATTATTATCAGTAGGTGTAGGTAAGCAGAGCTATGATAAGTGACATTCAAAGCTATCTACTTCGATAAGCACTAAGAAATTACAGAAACAACTTTTGCCTTTAAGTAAATGAAGACATTATTAACACATAGTGAATTCAAAACATTAATAATATAACTTTTGTTCAATTTTAGGTCTAAAATTAAAAATAAAAATGTTAGAAGATTGATTTTTAACGTCTGTTCCTAATGTAAAGTATTGTTTTTAATAGAGCTGTATTTCGAACAGTAGTGAATTATAATAATAAAGTTTTACTTTTTATTAACTCATTGAATTTTTGGCTGACTATACAGCTGTTTCATGTATAACCACATACCCATCATCAGTGGACTTGGAATTATTTTTTAAATTTTATTATTTATAAATAATTTTTTGAGACTGCAAATACTTAGAGTTGAACTCGTGCCCTGCTAAATTGAAGCTCAGAGTCAGTGTTTATTAGCCAACTGACCCAAAGCCGTACTTGACTTGTTTGTTCGAACTTGCGGTTTTTGTTAATTTGCTGTGTTAAATTAGAACGAAATCATACACCAGTTGTAGAATAATTGAATTAATAATGATAGAAATATCAGCGGCATATATCATCGCTGTTTTAATGTATACATAAAAGCCCTCCACAAAGATGTAGTATCCTTCTTGAGACTGCGGTTGTCAGACAACAAGGTTCTCAACAAGCCATCTTAATATCTTCCTAAAAGAACGATTTCTCTCTGTACAGTAAGAAGTGTCGTAGCTCTATTGAGATCATAATATAGCCGAGTGCTAAACTGTTACTTGCCACGCATAAACACGTCTATGCCAAATGTGTGCTCAAACTGTAGCTCTACTCCTGATGATATCCCCCATCCGCTCTCTTGTCCTACAACGCACACAAATCTCTGTTCAATTGCCCTTTGAACCCAACCCATTAAAGTGGCTCGGTTTGTCCATCTGGACCACCCATCTACTCCACGCATTATCCTCATTTCCTACTCCTCCAACACTCCCAACCACTAATCATCAACTTTCCCACCCATGTAATCGTCTTGTATATGCTTTCATATTATCTGCTTATACGTCCCAGCGGGTTACAACAACAACAACAACAATGTGTGTAATATGAAAGTTGATATAGTTTAGGACACTGCATAGATATTTTGTGTATATATAGTAGTATAGTATTCGATTGCATTTGGTTTTAATTAATTTTGTTAAATATTTTAGTAATTATAAACCTATTTTTCAGCTGCCTGATGACTTACCATTTGAAGAACTACTAGTGAAAGCAACGAATTTATATCAAAAATACGATATTGATTTAATAGAGCAACTGGTGGAAGATTTTGTTAAGGAAGAGTAAGTGTTGCCCTTGCCCTCTAATAATTTCCTATCACGTTCCTGATATTTTAATTTAAATAATTATATACTCTATTAAAACCATTCATTTTTTAGGCAAGAAAGAAGACTTCTAGAACAGAAAGAAATGATGGCTAGAAGAAATCAAATTCCAATGTCAAGAATTACAACGGCTACATACATTAAGAAATACTGGTTGCCCCGAGTAATGACTCCAAAACGTGTAATAGTAACAACAGCATTCTCAATAATTATTGGCTTTTGTGCCTATTATTACAGGAGTCACTATCTTTCGCCGGGATTTAGTTGAGTAAGTCTGTTCTTGCAGCCGTCTTTGCCTTTGGCATTACGGCATGCAACACCACCAAAATGTAGCTGGATGATTGGTTTTTCGATTTGTTAAGAACTTAAGCTGTAAGCGGTATAAACATCAATCGGAAAGAAATATACAATATAACCCAACATTAAAGCAACAGCAGAGCAGTGAACAAGTTTAGGCGATAATTTAGAAAAAATTTTGATAAAATATTTTAAACACTAGAAAAATTTTGAAATATGAAGATATTAACATCACATTGGGTTATATAATAATTTGTTAATAAAACTTTAGTTAAATTTGATGATAAAAATTTTAGTCAATCTCAAAATCCATACCAAAAACCAACCTCCAGTAAAGATTGCGTTAGCATTAAGTCAACCGAACGAGATAGTAGATCGAAGGAATTATTCAATATATATATATATATAAAGAGGTGTGTGAACAATTTAGCGGTTAAAGACCTTCGATACTTACTTTAAACATTGTAAATTTAAATTCCGTACATCTTCGCATTTTTTGTTATTCGAATTTAGGGCAAAATAGTCCTTGAATTCGGCTGAGCTTTTAAAAATTATTTTATTTTTGTAATTTTATAGTTAAGTACATTGTTATATTATTATACCATACAGAACATACTAATTACTATTATAATATTAGGCAAAATATATTATAGATTTAATAAATATTTCATATATGGTGTAAAAACGAAAACGATTCTTGGAGTACAGGATTTTAATTGCAGTTTTAAGTAAATATGTGCATACTGTATTATATGAATATGAAATATACAAATATATATATATATATATTCCTAAGTACTCAAAACAACAGTTTTATATTGTAACATTATTAATAAGATATTAACATCTCATGCTGTCTTTGTGATGACTTATGTTGTTTAATATTTAGTATGTTGTATCTTAATTTATATTTTCTATTCAGCAACTAGAAAGTTAATATTTGTAATAACTTATCTATTATAATATTGAAGAGAGAGCTCCATATATGAATAAATAAATTATATCTTTGATAATTGTTATTTAATTCTACAATTATATGCATATAAATGGGTTAACGTAATATAAATATTACGATTTGAATAAAAATGGAAAAAAGTTTTTTAGTTTTTTTCAGTTCAATTAATGATTGTTTGTAAAATGTGTAAATTTAATAAATATCTTTAGTATAAATTAATATCTTTAATATAAAGTACAGATTTATATTAGAAGCTTATATACAATTATTATTTAAAATCAAATTTAACGTTTACATCATTTTTTTAAATAGAAAGGGAGCGAGTTTTAAATAGAAATAAATAAAAAGTGTAATTAATTTATTATTTTTTATCTGCTAACCATAGTCAACTGTTTGCTGTACTAAATACGGTTCCAAAAACGGCTGAGTGTATGTCCCGTAGCTACTCGTCGTGTTCGACGATCAAGTGCCGTTTAAGACTTCCAAAAGTGATTAGACAGACAGGTACGTGTTTTGTTTTAAATTTGTCGTTTATGTGATATTCCCACTAAGAAGCACATCTCATCCATCTTGCTTCTTAAGTAACTTCTAATGATCGAATTTGAACCACGATCCAACCACGATCCTGACTGACCAACAACTCTTCTTAGTAATGTTTTGTTGATAATTTCCCTATTAGCAGAAACGAAACTTATGTATGGTGCAATAGTTGCAATAACTATTGCTGTGCAGATTTGCATATCCATACCGATTGGAATTCTGGCTTTAGAGGAGTTTCTTGTCCAATAACTCCGTTAAATGAACTTTTTTGATAGTTTTTGAACCTACCAATGGTAGGTTACTTTCTCAATCAATTTAGAAAATAATTCTAAGTCCTCAGTTGTATGGTGTTTAAATGACATGTGCAGAGAAATATAAATATATATAAAGTCTATATTTTATGTTAAAAAAAAAAAATTCGTTGATATAATTGAAGAAATGTAATTTATATAGGTCATACGTTATTTATTTTTCCTATAACAATCTCTATACATATTTATATGTATATATATTAATTGTATTTATATAAATATGATTTACGTATATAATTTAAAATATATATATATTAATTATCTGGAAACATATTTCAGTTTGTCTTTTTATATACATACACATATATAAAATAATAATTACTATGTGTATATTTATAATACATGTATCAATATATGTATATTATTATTATTATATATATAAATATATAAATTTATATATATTATACAAAATGCGTTCGCAGATCAAGAGGAAGATTATGGTGGGGAAACATGCTCCAGTCTGACATTAAATATTCCTCAAACAGGAACATACTGATCTTTATTCGCAAGGCAAAATACCTTCAGTTTAGGTAGGTACTGTAGCAGTAGAAAAGATGAGTTGGTTACACTGCTTTGCTTTAAATGGGAGTCTAGGGCCACATTTAACAAGTTGTTGAAATAATTAAGAGTTTACATTACCATATAAATAAACCAGGTACTAAGTTTTTTTTATATGTCAGTGCCTTTTAGTATGTGACCTAATTGTAGTTTTTTGTCAAGTAACGTTAAGCATATACTTACTATGAGTGTTGCTTGATAACCATTTAAGAAAACTCTTTAAACACATATTGGACATAATGTTAATATATAGACTAAAAATAAATTCTTAAAATAGTGATATATTTTAACAAATAATACAAATTATTTTTACAAATTTCTCTTAATACAACAAAAAAACTTAAGATACATATACTCTTATATAAATACATTAATTTTATATCGAAAGTCGTATTCAATGAATAACTAAAAGCTATAAATGTTGGCTTTAATGGAGTTACTAAAGTAAACCCATTTGGTATCTAAACATAAAAGACGTCACTATTTGAAATGTATTCTCGAAATACATCGCGACAACCAGGTTATTTCCAATTTCGTCCAATCATTTGCTTTTTTCAATATGAATACTTTCGTTTATTTTTGCTTGAAATCATTATTTTTTATTTGTTGCTTCATTACTGATTGATAACTGTAGCGTTTTTATAAACTCATCTAGTTTTTTAGGGTTCATTTGTATGTGCAACGGTTTAAGATTTCCCTTTGAATTGCGATTGTTAAATGTCACAGTTACAATTTGACGTTGATTATATGCATAACTGCTGTCGCCCAATATGTACCGAAGATCCCAATCAAAGGATTCTACTAAGGGATGCTCCTTAGCGTTTTGGTGCCTTATAAGGTAATTGATAATTTCAGGGCGTCTTGCTGCCAACACTGCTGGCACTAACCGTTGCAGTTCGGGACTAAGATTTGCAAATTCAGAAAGCAATTCTGCCTCAGTTGAGTTTTCGAGACAGCAATTATGATAGCATCGCGCAATTGTACGTGTTGTTAGCATAAAATCATCCGGGCTGTGGAAGCCAAACTTGTGACATAAACGCAATGTGTGTTTGTCATCACGACGATTTCCAATCAAGTAATCAATGGAATGGTGTAATATCTGTAAAATGATAATAATGCACTATATAACAGATGAATTAATTATTTAAAATCTACTTCAATAAGAATTTCCTTATTATCCGTATTCAACAGAAAGTCTTGCATTTTATTTGCAATGTTTGGAACTTTTGTATACAAAAAATAAAGTTAACATCAGCTGGTTTTGACACAACGGGAATGACCCAGTAAGCAATGACAAAATGCACACTGACAGTTCTACATAAATAACTGCGGGGAAGTGCAATATATTTTTTATTATATTTTAAATATGATTTTTTTATCACTTAAGTTAAGTTTTTATTTAGTTTTAATTTAATTTATTTAGTTAATTAATTTAGTTTAATTAAATAAAATTAAATTAAGTTGTATTATTTTATATTAAACTTAATTATATTAAATTAAATCACGTAAAATAAAATAAAATTAAATTAATATAAATTAAATTAAGTTAAAATAAATTAAATTAAATTACTTTAAATTAAATTATATTATATTAAATTAAATTATATTAAATGATATTAAATTAAATTAAATCAAATTAATTTAAATTAAATTATATTAAATTAAATTAAATTAAAATAAATTAAATTAAATTAAAATAAATTAAATTAAATTAAAATTAAGTTAAATTACATTAAATTAAATTAAATTATATTATATTATATTGAATTCAAATAAATTAATATTAACAATAAATCTAAGAATTGGTGTCACTCGTAGACCAATCAATTCAGTATATTTAATTAATTTAATTATGTTAGTCTAATTTAATTTAATTTAATTTTAATAAATTTTAAACTTCATAAATGAAAGTTATTATCAATTAATATATATAAATTTTAATATAGTGAATACAAATTTAAATTTGAAATGATTAAAAGTACCTGTGACGAAAGTGTTCCATGCGAGATGATACCTGTTTAGGTTTTAATAAGTAGGCTTTTGTGATATTAATTAAAGTTTTATAGCATACTTCACGGTTTACAGAATATACATATATTAAAATGCTGTGTCTACTCTGTACTTGGATACCAATTTTAAGCTTTAATAAAATAGTTAAAATATCTAGAATTTATTTTGAAAATATCGAACATAAAACTTTTTACGCGAAAAAAACTTTTAATGAGTAAATCACATATTGGTGAGTGCAAGAAAAAGTAAATGAGTTGTAGTTTTCTTTTCAGTTTTATTGGAAGTCATCAGGTCAGCGTATAAAACCGTGTGTTGTCAGTCCAACAATTGTATTAGATGACGAAGAACTGTCTAGAGTAATCAGTTGCTATGCTTTGTTCCGATTGTATGTGGGACATACTATATATATTGTATCAAATACATGATTGAAATAACAAATTAGTCGTTTTAATTAACCAAGGATAAACCGACTTCCATATCTATGAAAATAGATTTTGAAAACAGTAATTTGCAACATATATTTAATTTATCGACACTGCAGTTGTTAGGAATAGCACTTTGATCTGGTGCCCTCTATGAAGACATATGATATTGTACCCGGTTTATCTCAAGTAAGGATGATATTCCAAAGGAAATGATTACTTGATTATAAAGAGGTTAGTGAACTACAACAACAAAAATTTTTTTTTATATTATTTTAATTAATTGCATTTTTGGCTGACCGTACAGCTGTTTCGAGTATCGCCAAATACCCATCATCAGTGGTCTTGGAAATAATTCAGAACCATATAAATATGATATAAAATGGTACTGCAGCTGCTCTATCAGATAAGCATTCTTATCTATGAGAAAGAAATAGTAGAATGTTCAGCACGAGATATATTTTATCTGGCAATATTTATATAGACGATTTCCGTTATTCAAAAAGATTTTAGTTTGAAACTTGAAAGTTTTTCTGAATGAAGAATCTGTACGATTATCTATCTAACAGTACAGATATACACAAATATTTTCAATAGGTATTGCAGCCGATCAATCAAGTTATGGAAGACATTAAGAAAAAAAATTAATAGAACATTCAATAGGGGATATTTTTTTTTGGTTTTTATATGAATTAAACACTCTATCGAATTTAAAATCGAAGACAGGATATTTAACTTTAAAAAAAGAAAAACAAATTGAATTCTATAGACTACAGACGAGGATGGTGTCAATATGTATCAGTTCATCAAGAACCATTCTAGATTTTGCTACATAGGTTGCATAATTGATTAAGAATATTGAATCGTGTGTGGCGTTTACGCTGGTCTGGTATTTCTTTTGGATCCAGACTTTATAAACGATGGTTTCGCTTAAGATTGAAAAAAAAGAGAATAGAGTAGCATCTGTGGAATACTTCAGAAATAAAGGACTGGTAGGATATTTACAGTATCACTTTAATCAAAAAATCTTTCTTAATGAATTAATCTTGTGAGGTCCAATATTATGCAATATATGTAGTATGCATGAGTTAGGGTTTCTGTTCATATATAAAAGTGAGAAGTCACATATTTTGCGATTTCATGGATCGTAGCGAGGCGTGCACATACGAGCATTTCAGAATTATGCAATAATTTTAATCTTTTCGTGAATATCTTTTGCTTTTAAATTTATTTAATGCTATTAAATTTAGAAACTTGTAAGTTTTTGAAATGGAAATGTTTTACATGTTCTGTGTTAAATTTTTATGTATAATTAAATTTGCATTGCTTGTATTGCGGCGAATAAAGTCTGAGTTCGTTGTTAGAAGAACGATTCTATGTATCGAGGAATCCACTTACCGTACATATTTACACTATATTAAATGCTCATTTTTAAATATGAGTATTTCAAAATTTAATTATTTAGATAAAAATAAAGTGAAAACAACTGAAAGTGTAACGAATCCATTTATTTTCATATAAATCATTTCAGGCATTAGTCACGACTGAAATATACGAGCGCATTTTATTGGAATATGAAAATATTGTGTATGGAAAAATTGCACACGCCTTGAGTTACAGAAAAAGTTAATAGGTTTGTCGGTAAGACATATGAAATTGGAAATTAAATGTAACCGAAGCGGTGGGGGATGGACGATGACGGAGGTGTCTTTTAGACATGTGATAAAAATTGATAACTACTTTTGTTTTTTAATTAAGAATCGACACAATTAAATTATATAGAAAAGTTAAGGGTCTTTGAAGAATATCACGTTACGAGTTCTGAACAAGTTATGTTAGTGCATTGGTACATGAAGAAATGGATGAGCGGAAGAGACTCTACTTTTTATTTGGAGGGAATTGATATTATGGAAAGCAGAGTTTCTTTTAAGAATATTCTGTTAGAAGTAATGAGAAAAAAGAGGCCCACAGGTTAACCCAAAAAGTTTGGTTTGGTACACAGTTGGATCAAAAATGGATAGAGGCACTGTTGCTGATGTATATGGACCCAACACCAGAATTTCGGAACCAATGGGCACATGGCTCAGTTTCTTCGAAGCTGAAATTCTCACAATTAAATTATGCGTAAGATCCAATATCAGCAAAAAACCATCTGGCTCAAAATTTGTTGTTTATTCTGACAGCCAGGCTGCTCTTAAAGCTCTGTCTGCATGGACTTTCATGTCGAAATATGTCATTAAGTGTTGCGAGCTGTTACAGTTATTTGCAGTTTGGAATAAGGTAACTCTTTATATGGTTCCGGGACACAGGGGAGTTTTAGGAAATAATCAGGCTGATGAGCTACCTAGAACTGTATCGAAAATTGCTTTTACGGCTTTTACTCTTTTGTGGGTTAAATGGGTTTAGTACAAAATAAATAATCAAGGAGAGGGTGTACCGGAAAGATTTCACAGGACTTAGACAAAGCAAATCACTGATGAACAAAATTACGTGCGCAACCATTATTGTCGGCAAAAGAAACCATTGTTGCATTTAAAAACTATGTTTTACTCGTACTCCATTTGCATATAGTAATGAATGTATATGTTAAGGTGCAGATGTCAATAGTGTCACTACTTCTTTTTACCAGACTTAGTAATGGTGTTAGCAAAATTTAAGATTATAATCAAGATTACTTTCTTTATACATCCTCTAAAGTCTTAGTGACACCAAACTCAACTTTAAGACTGACATACAGCACTGTGCTCAGGTGTATAAAAACACCTTCAACAAATCCGGAACTGGATAAGTGTATCTTTCCCATATATGTTATTTTTAAATCTATAGTCATAGTATTGTATAAATATTTTCTATATACATATGTATATAAAATTCATGTTTCGATGTTAATGTATTTTATTATTGTTTCTTTGTGATATGTATTAAAATATTGTTACATTGTATTTAAATTTTGTAGTACCCTGATGATGACTATAGATTATAGTCGAAATATCGGTCAAAATAAAATCTTTTAAAAATGATTAACTATTTTTTAAAAATGTATTATTTAACTATTGACCAATTAGCTTATAAAAAAACCCAATAATTTAAAAAAAAATTTTTATTTTTGACTTGATTTATGAAGTACGGTCCATTTTCCGTACTTAAAAGTACTTCAAGATCTCTGTTAGATCACTAATGGTAACGCAATGACTTATAAGACTTGTAGGTTGTTCTTAGTTATATTTAACCTTAGGTCGATCTTATTAAATTGGGTATGCATACATATGCCACGGTGATCACATGTATCTTTAAGAGAATTGGAAGACCTTCAGGGAGGGTATTGGAAATGCACCACCAGGGGGGATGTCGTGGAGTAGAGTGAGGTACCTACATGCAAGTGACAAAAGGTACTCGTTAACATGAGTGATCTTGGCATTGCCATTAAGAACAGAGACAGAGAAGTGCTTGCCGTCAGGCTTACGCTTGTAGTTGATGCCATCTTGAACAAGCTTTTGCTTAAATAGGCGGATTCTTTCTATTTGAGCAGAAGAGATTGTAAGCCAAATGGGGCAGGCGTAGGTGAGTAGGGGGACGAAATAGCAGAATAGCTTAACTTTGTAGTTAAGCTGGCTGTGTCTTTAAAGTGCTTTTTTGAGTTGAATATGCTAAATCGGGCGTTTCGGATGGCATTATAAACGTGGGAGATGAAGTTGTGTCTGTGGGCAGTAATATGTTTTTAAAAAGTATTACCAGACATTTGTTTGTTTGTCTATTAATATGCAAGTCAATCGAAATACTAAACAGGATCTTATTATGAATCCATGCCAATCAGGTTAGTAAG